CCGGCCCGGCCCCCGCCCCTTGGCCTGCCGCTCCGCCCCCGCGGGGCGTCCCGGGCCGCTAGTCCCTTCTACGGCGGCCGCGCGCGGCCCGGGGTCGCCGTGAGTACTCGCGAGGAGGGTCTGAGGGGCTGCAGCCGTGGGGGACAGGGCGGGGCGTTCGGGACGCGGGCAGGGTGCGGAGCGCGCCCCGCTCCGGCCAAGGGGGAAGGAAGTGAGGGGCTTGGACGCGGTGGCTTGAGGGATTGCCCGGCTTCGCTCAGGCTGGTGGCTGGCTGCTCAGATCGGGCACGGAGCAGCTTCCCTGGGGAGGCAGGTGTTGGGTGTCTTTGGGGCGCTTCCGGAGGAAACCCCAAGAGCTATAACTGCTTCCCTATGGGATGCTCCGGGGCCGCCGTGGAGGCGCAGGTGGCAAGCCGAGTGTTTGCAAGACAAGCCCTGTCCTGGGGGTCTACGAGTGCGGGCGACAGCGCTGGCCCGCGGGAGTCGCCCCTGGCTGGCTCGTCCCTCTTTGTTTAGCCCTAGACCTTCGGGTACGGGAGCCTTCGGTATGGAGCCAGGTCGTTCCTTCTCCCGGGACCACAAAGCTGGGAATCGGGCCTGGACTTTAAACGTTGGGATCCGAGGCTTTTCTGAGTCGGTGTAAACTTCTCACACCCGGAAGCGCCCGGGGACCTGCGGAAAAGGACCTTTGTACAAGACCCAGGCTTGAGGCTTATTTACATTTGGCCTGTTCCCATGGAAATAGATAAAGCATCCCGTGTGATTTGGATTATCCACAACAAACACTTGAGTTTAACAGCACCCTTTTCTGGCCGTTCTTACTGTAGTCTATGTTTGGCTCAGTTTCTCTTGCAGGATTCACTGCTTTACCTCAGGTTCATAAATCAAACAGGCCTGCTTGCCTCATTCATTAATAATTCTTTCGTTAAAACGACATGGTGTGAAGATTGGATGTAATTAGGACCTGTCAAATGTGCATAGCCCGTTTATACTTCTGTCCTTAAGTTTCGGGACCTCCGCAAGCGGGAAGAGTCTGTGCATAACACAAGTTTTGAGCTAGCTCATTTTTCAATCGTGTGCTTTTTAGGGATGTCTAGTTCTGTGAATTCCACGCCCCACCGCCTGTCTTTCCCCACTGTCTTCTTTTGAGTGTGTGTGTGGGGTGCCAGGAATTGAATTAAGGACCTCAGGCCTGCTTGCCCTGCAGGCGCTGCTCTGCTGAGCTAAAGCACCGCCCACCCCCTGACTTTTATACCCATTCTCCATCTCTCCAGGGAAAGGGCATTGAGAATAGTGGGGCAGCGTGGTTTGCCAAAGCTAGTGGTCTCTTAACTGTCTTCCCCTGGACAGAACAACTCCCTCTGAACTACTTCTTTTCTCCTTGTATAGCAGCAGAAACCAAGCAGAAACAGCCCTTGGAGAGATGCCAAGTTTTTCTTGACAGAAGTCAACAGTGACAAAGACTTTGAAAAACTTGATACTTCTTGCCTGCGCAGCTGTCATTCTCTCATTCACAGCAAGACAACCCAGGCTGGATATTAGTGCTTCCCTCTTTATTCCCACGATTTTCCAGATCTACGCTTGACTGTTTATTTTCAAGTCTCACAAACTCCGCCCTTGTTCTCGGCTGCTCTTGAGGTGAATGAAGTTACTGGTTTCTAAAATCATCTTGGTATGATTTGGTTTGTGTGTAAAAGTATTAGATCCTTGGGGCTGGGGAGATGGCTCGGTAGAATAAAAGGGCCTGAGTTCAATCCCTGGTTCCACCAAAAAAAAAAAAAAAGTATTAGATTCTTGTATGTATCTTGTTAGGTATACAGTGGAGTGTCATTCACTCGTTCGATAGGTGTGTTATGGGACTGAGAACATAAAGAAAACAGTAGGACCTTGAGCTGTGACTCACTGTCAGATGTGAGGTGAACCTGCTGTGTGCTGTGGGGAAGGATACCTGGGGAGGGGATAGTGCGCTAGTACGTGTGTGTTGGAGTTGCTGCTTTAAATAGGCTGGTCAAGGTGACCTTTGAGCAGAGTGTGGATATCTGTGAAAAGCATTTCAAGAGGAGAGAACAGCAGAGACAGAGTTCTGTGATGGAAATATACTGCATTGGAAGAATGGCAAGGAAGCAACTGTGGAGTCTTGGACAATCTTCCTATTAACATTAAGAGTTGACCTTTTAGAGAGAGCATCTGACCAGTGGCCTGAAAGAACCCAGGGCTTTACGCGTGCTCATTTTCTGTTACTGAGCTACGTTCCCAGACCTTTTACTATTATTGATCTCCTTGAGTTGCCCAGACTGGCCTCAAACATGCAATATTCCTGCCTTGGGCTCCTGAGTAGTAGCGATTACAGGCGTGTGCCACTATGATGAGCTTTTTTTTAAATCATGAGAGTATCCAATTATGCCAAAGGGGAGTCCGAGAAACCACTATGTACGTTTCACTCAGTTTCTTCAGTGATCACTGTTTTTCCAAATATGATTCGTATGTCTCTTTCCTTCCTTCCTTCCTTCCTTCCTTCCTTCCTTCCTTCCTTCATTTGGGTGGGGGGAGCTGAAGTTTTTAAGACAAAGTCAGATATTGTATCATTTCTTTTCTCTTTTTCTGAGACAGGTCTCACTATGAGACAGGTCTCACTCCAGGCTGGCCTTAAACTCACTATGTTGCCAAGGCTAGCCTCAAACTCACAGTGATCCTTTTGCCTCAGCCTCCCAAGTGCTGGGATTACAGGTATGCACCACCATGCCTGGCCCAGTGCAGTTTACTTTTACATACTGTTTTTGATGTGTCAGTCGGCGAAATCAACTGAAGGACAGCTATACTGTTTACCCCAAAATTTTCGCTTATGGCCCTATGCTGGATCAGTTACTAGGCTTACGTCAGTATCTGTGGAATGTACGCAGCCCCCTGGGACTTGTATGTACTGGAAATCGAACTCAGGACCTAGCACTTGCCAGGCAAGCACTGTGCTGCTGAGCTGTACTGTCTGTCTGTCTCCCTCTCTCTCTCTCTCTCTCTATCTCTCTCTCTCTATATATATATATACACACACACACTTTTTTCTTCTTGAGATATGTTCTCACTATGCAGCTCAAGGACTCAAATTCATGGCAGTCCTTTTGCTTCAGCTTCATATTTGTGTGCTGAGTTTATAGGCATGTGCTACCATGCCTGGCAAGGTTCTTAAATTTTATCATGCATCAGAATAACTTGTTAAAGACACTGATTACTGAGCTCCTCCCTGGAGTTTCTTTTCTAAATCTTGGAGGGGCTTAGTAACTAGCATCTTTCACAAGTTTTCAGGGGATAGTGATGCTGCAGACCCACCAACCCCACTCAGAACCATTCATCTAGAAAACCGAGGTTCAGAAAAACTGCGTCACAGACCAAGAACACCTCTACTTGAGCTTGAAGTAGCTTAGTCTAATACATATGCAGGCCCAAGAGGTCCTCAAACATTGGTTCTTAATTTTGCCATCACAGCAAATCATCTGCAGAGTTTTTAATGCATTTGATACATAGGATCTCTTTTGTTCTTTTTTTTTTTTTTTTTTTTCTCGTGGAACCGGGGATTGAACTCAGGCCCTTGCGCTTGCCAGGGAAGCTCTTATTCCACTGAACCATCTCCCCAGCCCCAGAAATTGCACTCTTTGGCTATGGGGTGGTGCTGTCCATTGGTACAGGTGATCAGCTCTTCAGGTCATCCCAGTACCACATAGCCATGCTTGTGATTTACTGATTTAGACAGCAACTCAGCATTTTTAACCTGCTTTTAACTTACCTTTCCACCCTTATGGTTTAACAGATGAATGTTGTTTTTCCTTAAGCTCCATATGGAGGGTCCATTGGGGATATTTGCCTGGTATAGGATTGTGAGTCTTTAGGATTAGAGTAAGCAAGAGAAAGGACCAGGAGGTAGTGTTTTTCTACATATTTGTGAAAATATGTAGAAATATCGTTGGGATTATGATTGTATTTTTGTCAAGTAGGTTCTAACATACTGCAGGGCATTATTTTGGCTGTGACAGCTGAGAGCATGTTCCCCAGAGGGTATTCAGTGTTGCTGAAGACTTTGTAAGCTAGAGGTGATTCTTACATAGTGGCTTCTAGTACTGTTCATGTTTCAAAAAGAGATAGTGACTCAATATTGCGAAATAACGGGCAGTAGAGTCCAGAAAGAGTCTGGTTCTGAACTCCTGCAGATTGGTATAATGAAGAGTGTTCCAAAATGAGCTGAGAGGAGAGCTTAGCGTAAGCGTGTGCCCTGCTGCTATCACTTTCAGCCCTGAGATGCTGTAGCATTGTGAGATAGAGCTGGGACTTGCTGTAGTCTTAATTCCCCAGATTTTTTGTTTGTTTGTTTGTTTTTTGGTACTGGGAGTGAAACACAGGACCTTGAGCTTGCCAGACAGGTGCTGTGCCGCTGAGCTATAGCTCCAGCCCTTGTTTTTGTTTTTTGTTGTTGTTTTTGCCATGCTGAGCATTGAATCCCGGGCCTCACCACATACGAGGCAAGTGCTGTACCTCTGAGCTACATCCCAGCCCACCAGCTGTACATGCTAGTGTATCTACGTTCTAGTCATCCTACAGTTTGAATGGGGTGGCAACACCTAATATTTGTATAGTGCTTTCATGGTTCTTTATCTTTAAAGAACTTGAAAGTGTGTGTGCATGCAAGTGTCTGAATATATGCACAATAAAAGTGTTCTTGTGTATACACCACCCAGCTATGTGCGGTAATGAAGCCAGATCTCTGCTTTCCACAGAACAGTGACTTGTTACCACCACCACAACACAGCCCACTATCCTCGGCAGATCTTCAGTTGCTCCTGACATCACCTCGCCGTGTCTCCCTTTGTGGCCTCCTAAATGCCCATCTCATCGGCCTGGGTTCAGCCAGTGGTATGGAGGGGTGCTGCCTAGCACTGCTCTGGGACTGTGTGTGACCCACTGACCCAATGGTGAGCGCCAGCTGCCTGCCACCCCAGCTAATTCTCCAGGGATAGATGAGGCCAGGTGCAGGCCGCACACATCCTAATGTTTTCTCTCTTGCACTTTGGGAGATGGAGTGCCTACTGGAAGGACAAGGGGTACAGAAACAGTATTACTTGGCATGTGTACGCATGTAGGTGGGTTTTCTTGGGCAAGAAGAGGAGGTGGGCCGGGGAGATGGCTCAGTACAAGGACCTGAGTTCAAACCCCAGTTCCACCAAAAAAAAAAAAAGAGGGTTAAATATCTTCAGGCAGCAGTCCCTAATCATTTTGGTATCAGGAACTGGTATTGTGAATGATAATCTGTCCACATATTGTGGGTGAGGTGTAGTTTAGGAGTGATTCAAAGGCATGCACGATCTGCATGCTTTACACGTTCAGTTCATAATTGAGTTTGTGCTCCTAAGAGAATCTGTTGCTGCTAAGCTGGTAGGAGGTGGAGCTCAGCTTAGTGTGAGCAATAGAAAGCAGCTGTTATATGGTAGAACTCTGCCTGCTGGCTTTCATTGATCTCCTGCCTTGCACTCTGCCCAGTTCCTGATAGTCCATGGACCTGTATTAGTATGTGACCCCAGGGTTTGGAGACCCTGCTTTAAGGAAGAGAAAAGGAGCAAGGAGACAAGAGAGCTTCAACATGCCAGGAGTTGCCAATGACCCTAGAAGAGGTCAGCTTATACTAGAATCCGGTACTCTTACAAATCAGCCTTGACATTTGTACCTGTCCCCAGTGGCTACCCAAGCCTTAATCATTATACTGAGACTTTAGTCCAAAATTGCTGGTGTTTTCCTCTGTCCCACCGACTCAGACCTAAGCCTTGGGAGAGTGAGAGGAAAGATATGAAGGATCAAGGCTTCAGTTCCTCTACCGTAAGGGACCTTTTCCATTCACGTGGGACCCGGTCTCCCATCCTTTGCCTGCACCCTGCTCTATGCAGTTAACAGGGCCTTATTTTTCATCACCAGGACATCAAAGGCCAGTTCTGGAATGATGATGATTCAGAAGGAGACAATGAATCAGAGGAGTTTCTATATGGAGTTCAGGTAAGGCTCATTCTGCAAGTTTAGATATTGGACACTCTAGATTTCACTATCTGGGTAGATCAGAAAGATGTAAAAGAAGGTGTCCTGGATCAGAGACAGGATGAGGATGCTATGGTGTGATTTGAATGTTGTCTTGTTGGAGTTGATCCCATGTCCTTGTTCCTGCCTGGGACTCATCCCAAGTCCAGAATAAACCATATGTTCTGTACATGAAGGATACCCATATGTTCTTATTTTGAAATAATTATTGTTTGACTTCTCTCACTAGTCAGTGAGGGTCATTTCATTCATTCAGGTTAACTGTCCTTGTGGTTGCCTGTTGTCATTGCTACCCAGGGTGCAATCCTGACTGAGTACAAAGACTTTGAATCCTAGAATGCTTTTCAGATAGAACCAGTCTGAGTTAAACTCTGTACTTTTCAGCCTGATCTATGTCTTCATAGGTCGGGGTCTGAGAGGAGAGCCTGAAATGTGAGGATGCGACCTCCTCCAGCAAGACCTGTGTTTGGTCTGCTGAAACTGCTTGTGGGGATGGGAGGGACACTTGTGGGTGAAATCCCTGCAGGAACCACCACCAGGAGCCCCTCAGAGAGTGGCTTTCACTTCTGCTAGCACCGTTGTGTTCTCCCTTTTGACTCTTCCCATTCATTTTATTTTCCCCTTCTTCTCTTTTCCC